TTTGATAATTTAATTTGTGCTATTTCTATATTAACTTTATACACGTATATTCGTCTTCAAACGGGTTTGTTTCTAAGATCGGATATAACATATAATAGCCTATTTAAATAGATAAAGAAATTGCTATCGTAAATGGCTTCAGCAATTGACTGTTAAATTGTACCGCTATTTGAATGTTGAAATCATTTTAGGTAGAAATTGAAGTAGAATCAATGATATGGAAATTTTTGTATATTTGGTGTAGAAAAAAATTCAGTAAATCATTAAGGAAGATGTTTTACTATATGATATTTTACTATAAGACGAAACTTTAGAGCAACACAGATCTATTTTTATTGATTGTCTTTTGACATTGACAGCTCTGAGACGTTCGTGAATGTTCTTGTATCTATGATAAAAATATAATGTTTTCTTTTTGTTATGGATGCAGACATTACAAGATTTTTTTAAGTACGAGTGCTTATGTTATGAATTTTTTTATGAATTTTTACATAAATGTACGTATATTTAATCGTACAAAATTTACTCATTGATAAAAATGATAATAATAGATTAATATTTATAATAATAGATTAATATTTATATAATCTTTCAAAAAATTGATATATTTACAAATATATGTAAACAAAGTTTAAATACATAAACAAAGTTTTAGGTATAAGCGACTGAAATAAAATTTTCAAAACGATTGAGTGATGGAAATCTGAGATGATGCACAGGAATCACGGCTCACAATGCGGGAACTTATCTCAGATCTCTCAAACTTCAAACAATTGGCTCTATTTTGCTCGGATTTCCTCTCGTGCTTCTCGTGAGACGCGGAGCGCGCTTTTCGACGGATACTTGAGGGCCTTGCTAGACGCACTTTGAACGCGGACGAATAGTCGAGCTTGGCTCCGGGTGCCGCGGCTCGAGCCACCGAAATGGTGTCAGACACCGAGTGTAAATAACCTTATGAACGTAAGAATAGACGTACGAGAGACGAATCGGGTTTATGTATCTCTTGTGCGCTAGAGAAAATTCACAGCGATCGTGTGACAGGAATCCGATTTCAAACCGGCGCGGTTTTAACTTCGTGTTGGCTTCAGGCACTTTGTCTTTCATAATAAATTGTGTAATAAATAACAATTTCTTTGTTTTTCTTTTTTTTTTAAAACAAAACGATATATCGAGCTCGAACGAAAATTCAGTTTGAAATTGCGACGTCGCGGTTTCAAGTTTATGGACCATAAAAGTTGTTTACTGTAAACTCGAGTCTGCTTACGCTGTGTGAAGACCTGTCGTTGAATTCCGTACAAATACGAGTTTTAATTTGTGCGATATGCAATACATCGATTCTGCCATCTATTTTATTTTCGTATTCAGCTGCGGTAGTGTTAATCTTTAAGCTTGTCTACGAATCTTGCTTGATCTCGCATGAGCCAAGTCAAGTAATTGGCGAGACGCCTTTGATTATGCAGAGGTTTGTCTAATCAAGCTAAATGAAACTCGAATTTAGGTACAGGATAGCTTAAAAATTGTGGCAGTTTTCCCAGTAATTAATATTAAATTTTCATCGGATCATAAATGATGTTGATATGCGTACCATCTGTTTCTGCGTAACGTTAAATTTGGTAAACTGAATTCTTCGTTTTACATTGCCCTCTGAAAGACATTTTTGAAAGATAACAAATCAAAGGCAGATAAGATTATCTCTTAGAAAAGGCGCAATAATTATGCTTTTATCAAAATATAGTGAGAACCACGTATGTATTTTTTTCTAATTCTGTGATTTACTGAATTTTTAAGATTAGAAAACACAAATCTCTACATTGATAATTTCAATTTTAGGTAAGAATAGATAACCTAATAATAATAATATAATTTAATGTCGACTGCAACAGCTATTTGTGATAATAATTCCTTATTGAAACAGTGAAGTGTAATGTGTATGTTGTATCTTATCTTCTTGATCAGTTTCGAGGAATAGTTCCTCATGGTATTATTTGTGAAGAACACATATTTCCGCCACAGAAAGCCCGAGAAGCGGGTTGATTCTGTGTACCGAGCGTACATAAAAAGCTGCATATATCTTGTATAAATAGCATCGGGGCATGTGAAGCAACGTATACGTAGGGATCGGCGAACAACGAGCTCGTTCTACAGTCGGCTGACGAAATATCGCGAATAGTACAAATATACAAAGGCGTTATACCTGGGAGTGCGTATCTGCATCGAGTCTATATGTGAGATTGTTACCGTAACAGCAGTCATTGGAAAAGTCTTTCATCTTCGCTTGACTGCAGTGCCAAGCCAGTCACTTTATGCACGAGTCGGATATACTATAAATAAAGCGCCTGATATCGATTTTCCGTATGTCGAAGGGTGACAGAAGGGTCGCAGAAATTGTGATCAATATTGATTACATAGTCAAGTGATTACCTTGGCACATACTCGTCGTATTTATCATTTAACGACTACGATATTAGGATTTGCGCCAAGACGTACAGGGTAATTTCTCGCAAAATAATTTAGAATTTAGCAATTTCGAAGAATAATTTAAAATCCAATAATAATTTGGAAGAATAATCTGAAATAAATTTTCCTTAAAAGAACATTGAGAGAAAGAGAGACAACATTTATTTGACACTTTCAGTTTAATATTAAATATTAGGTGTAGTAAAAAGAAATCCATTATTTTTCCATTCAATTTCATGCAAAAATAATGGATTTCTTTTTACTACACCTAATATCTTTGTAATATTAAATACTTTTGTGTGTATATATATATA